TGCAAACTGCACTGCACATATTGTCCTTAATTTTTCCTCTGAAAGAATACATTATTGCAACAGCAGCAAAAATCCCCATGCATAAAGGAGGTCATTGTAACTGAAGTCTCACTGTGGTGGAGATGCTGACGTTAGATTTCATAAGGATTAATAATTAAACACCATCATCTGCAATATTGAACATGCAACCCTAAACCACTCAACTCTCAGAACCCTGATAACACGCTGTCCTACTGAGCTTTACCCTTTACTGGCACATGACGCTGAGGTTTAACTTCCCATCATTGATAATAATACATGAAACAAGAACAATGTGAAAAGAAAAATCCTTTTGTCATTTAAGAAAATCCATGTGAGGTCAACACACACAGTATATGTAAGAGAATAATGTGTGTATGTGTATACGCTTTAGCATGTGTTCCGGCATGGTTGAGTTTAGTAGCTAGCTGCTACAATGGTTACTGATTACACTTTATAAGATAAGAGCCCTGATTCTGCTTTAATTGACCAACACAATGATATTGCTCAGCGTTTCTCAACCTTGTTTCCAAAGGACTCACACTACTTCATATTTTAGAAGTGTTATTTAAAACAGTCATTAGTAAAGTGCTTTATCAGGAGGTTAATGGTTTGGTTGGTAAAATCAGCCCCTGGTGGTTAGTTATTGTAACGCACCAGCCTGTTGCCAAAAATCTTTACTCATGGACCCTTTGCATAGACTATGAAAATGCCAGTGTCAAAATTTAACAAAATGCCACCAGAGTTGATAAACATGTCCCTCATATTTAAGATAAAGGGTCGATAAATGCCTTGTTGTACTGAATTGTTGTATTTGTTTTTTCCAGTGCTTAGCATTATAAAAAAAATAAAATATTATTGTTTACCACTATGTATAGAATGCCAATGAAATTGATGTCAATAGCAACTGATGTGTAATATGCCAAGTCTGAACCGCATTTGTAGCAGTTTGAAGAATTCTGACTAAATTATAGAATTAGATACATTTACAAACACAAGAGATGAAACTACACATTTAAATATACACTTATAAAACAGATAGGTATAAAAGAAAGAAAACAGATGCAGGAAACAATTACAAAGTGCAAATAGCGCTTCTTAAAAATGTTAATCTGTGAGTGTGGATTGTATGTTTCCATGGTTAATAACATTATAAATCTAGAAATGTTTATTTTTTGTGTACACATTTTTATTTTTAACTCTTAGCTAATCTGCAAATCTGACACCCTTCTCTCCTATGACTAAAATAATCTTAATATTTTTTAGGTTATTACAAATTCAGAAATTGTATTTTTTTTTTTTACAGAAATTGCAGTTCTGTAAAGTGACTGATTGCTCTCTTTGTTGTTTGAATGGAATTGAATTACAATTATTGCTCATTTATATGGAAGTTAAACCAGTAATAAATTCACATTTTGAAAGCCCCAAAAACACATAAAAGTGGCTGATAATACTTGCATTGCATTTTTGAACATAAGTACTTAGTATTCTTAATTACTTTCAAAACTATTACCTTGATATCAACAGGATCCTGATGTTTGACCTCCATCTGCTGGTGATTATATTTCACTGCAGTCCGACCACAGCTCACTGCTCACTAAATGTCCTACAATGATGAATTGCAATATTTAGGCTGAGGTAATGACAATAGAATAAAAATAGGGTCAGTTAGATTTTTTGGAGTAAATCATCTTTAATCTTTTAAGGTGCGATTCTCCTACTTTTCTTTTGGTCTATTCTAGATCAAGTTCGCTTGACATTCACCCTCTTAAAATAAAAGAACTTAAAATAATGCTATAGGCTGGGCTGAACGCTCTTGTTGTGTCAAACATTATATACAACTCCATTAAATACACAAAGAAAAATCTGAAGAAAAGAGATGTATAATCAAATATAGTTTAATTATATTAAACGGCAACGTTACTATCGGAAAAATAATGAGAGTTTGGTAACTCTGACCTGCAAAAATTCATTTAATGTGAAGACCTGTTTTTAGGTGACCTAAAATAAGCGATATTTATTTTTTCTTTTGTAACACTTTAAAATTAAATCTAAAGTTGTTAGTTAACTAACTAAAATGTTAGTTACCGTATTTATTAATCACAGCATTAGTTAAAGCAGTAATTAATCCGCTCACCATTTACTAATGTATTATTAAGAATTATTAGGTTAATAGACTGTGAGTTAACAAACTTACAATGAATTTTTCCATTAATTAACATTAAAAAAGATTCATAAATGCTAAATGTATTATTATTGACCATTTATTGTAGTATTACTTTTTTGGATAAATACATTTTTATTTGAACAATGTTTTTTAAAAGATGCTACAAATGCAATGTCAGTATGTTAGTATGCCTAGTTTAAAGTGTATGAGTGGCTTAATTAAATTAAAAGAAAGCGTTAACATTATAATTTCACTTTGATTTTAAAATAATTATGAAACCACTAAATATGTATATATATATATATTTTTTTTTTTTTTTAGCAAAAAGTGTTTAGTACGATTAGGACATCTTAAATTCTGTTCTATTTTAGTCTGGTGTAGTTAATTCTATACTACTGAGTCTATTACAGACTAACTCACCATATGGGTTTGCAACTATGGAGCTGAACTTTAACTGAAGTGGACACTTCATCTTCTCACGGCACAGAGTGAATTATCATCTCCTGCTAGCCGTGCCTCATTATCCAGACTTCCTCCCCTTTGCTGATTCTTCAGTGTGCGCCAGCCTGACTGCTCTTGATGTTTTCTGTTGTTTGTGTGAAAACCCATCTGTCTGTTACAGCCTGCTGGCAGTAGGTCCAAACGTCCCTTCTGCTCCTGTCAGAAGAATCAGTTCACAGCATTTAGAGATCCAAATGTTCATTTTCCTTTCCATTAATGATCCACAGCGAGAGACAGAATGAGAGCAGTTCCAAAAAATCTCACCTACTGTAGACATTCCTCCTCACGCCAAATGTCCAGTGTACTGCAGGGACAAATTTGTTGTCGCTTTTCTTGGCGTACGGACAGTTATGTTGTCAGGCCAACTTTTTCACAAACGATTGATCATTTCTGGGAAGACTTTTTTGGCCAGTTTACAAACAAAATCTGAAATGGCAGAACAAGGCTTCAGACATCCGACACTAGGTGGGATGTTTTCTTTTTATCTCATATTTGAATTGTACCCTATATTGTCACCAAAAATTTGAATAACGTTACTTGCTTGTTCCTTTTCATTCAAAATCCATTTTTATTGAGGTGTAAGGCTGTGTGTTTAAATCTTAATCTAATTTCAAATGTATCAGCATTTGTATATCATAAATCAGCAATAACTAACACACGATTAAAACTAGTGAGAAAGTCAAAGTACTGTGGAAAGATTGATACTCATATTCTAACAGATTCAATAACGTTAAACAAGTAACTTAACGTTAGGCTTAAAATTTAGGCACCTTACATTTTAAACACAAACATATTGTTGGATGCTTTATCCATTTTGTTCATAAGCAAGAATACCAAGTGAAGCCAAAGGAGTAGAGTTATTCTGTAATTTTTGTCTTAATTTAAAAAAAGGAAGTATATTCCGAATTAATCGATTGATTCAGGCACTCACTTGTACGTTAAGTCCGTTTCTCTTTCAATGGCTGCAGACTAATAGTACAGTATTGCATATTTACAGCTAATATCATCTCAGAGATATCATTTATTACTATTCTCTCATTTTGTGCGGCAAACATACTTTAAATTTTATTTATGTTTCACGCGTAGCTCTGCGATATCTCGCTGAAACAAAATTAACCGCCAAGTGACGTCAAATGCAGCGTCTCGCTGAGGTCGGGATTCTTCCGATCCGAGTCTAGGAACTTCAGAGGATGTCGGACTTCTAGAGAAATTCTATGTGTTATTTCCCGTATATAAAGTAGGAAAAAACCCAAAATCTAAGGAGTCTGGAAAGCACACACAGCATGGAATTAGGTTAGTGTAGACGTTAGCGTATGGAAGGCCGTTGGGGTCAAACTGAACCAAACGCATTTACACTCAAAGTAGGTCTATAGGGGCTGCTAAAATATTAGGAACTTTTTATTTTGTGAAAAGGCATTGCTCGAAAATGTGTTTTATATTTTTTTGTGCAAGAATGTGGACGTTTAAAAAACTAACAAATAAGGAAACAAAACAAAAAACAAAACAGGTTAACACATAATATATATTTACCAGCAAAATACATGGTAAACATGTCATTTAAGCCTGCATTATACTTATGTGCCAAGCGATTGCTGTACCCCAAGATACATGCTCCATCTGTGCCTCCTCTACGTATTGACACTTTAAAATTCCAGGCCTCGCTCCGCTCCTGTGGCTCTTGGTCCCCCCCAACCTCTGACCTATACCAAGCCGGACAATACAGATTTTGTGTTTATGTAGTCATGACATGTTTTTACTTTTTCAAGGTGCACATCAAGTCTATACGCCTATGCCTTGTTGTGAATCAAAAAGGTTTTCAAAATTGTCTTAAGACAAGAATGGGTGTTGTTCAAATGTTTGATTGCAACTGATGAATAGCTTCTACTTTGCTTCTTGCACGTAGCCATCTGTTTGTGTTGCTCTGACAATAACACTTGCAAAAACCTAGAAGGCACAGGGGTTTCTGGGTCAGTTGGCATTTCTGTGTGGAGTTTGCATGTTCTCCCTGTGTTCGCGCGAGATTCCTCCGGGTGCTTCGGTTTCCCCCACAAGTCCAAAGACTTAGATGCTAAAATTGACCGTATGAGAGTGTATGGATGTTCCCCAGACTGGGTTGCAGCTGAAGCATATCTGCTGCGTAAAACATATGCTGGATAAGTTGGCGGTTCATCCCACTATGGTGACCTTAGATTAATAAAGGGACTAAAAGAAAGAATAAACGAATGAATTATTTAGTGGCGGGAACAGGCTTCCACAGATATTTCTTGGAACGGATGGCCAAAAATATTTTGAATCAAATCAGCAGGTGGCAGTAATGCACTAATAGCAGTCAATTTTCAGAAAAATAGAAGAAGAAAACACCTACACTTCCCTTCTGACTGTTTTTTTTTTCTCAAACTATTTCTAATGTTTCAGATTCTAAGCGGTGATATCCGAAACTTCATCGTAAATCCACTCCGGATTCATATGCGAAACATGGGCAGTTTAAGCAGCGAAAACCGCTCCATTCATTCAGACAACATCCAGGACGTCCATAATATCCCAATGGGTGTTATTATACGACCCATCCCGCCTGTTCTGGACGAGCAGAAGGTCCAAAGCCTCATGACGAGCATACAGGTCAGTACAATAATTAGTACATACTGTAGTGCGAATAACAATTAAACTTTTTTTAAATCAAAGAACCTATTGTGGAATGAAAAAGTTTCTTGGTAACTTATTTACTAGTCATCCTTCTTGCATAGAGGAAGGAACCATCAGTGTCAATGTATCCATATTAATAAATCGTTTAAACTTTTTTATTTTTAAGGGTAATTTTTAACTCCGTTTATCATAGTGGTTTATTATTTTTTTTTTACAATAACATTTGTTTAAAAGTACTCTATGTATTTACTGCTGAGGAAGCCGACCTGGATAGATTGCTGTGCATAGATTTAGTTTATTATAGTTTTTAAATTTTTTAAAACATTTGTTACATTTGTAAAACATGTTTATGTTGGAAAAAAGTGTATGGATACAAGTAGAGCCTGCTTGTTTTTACACAATATTTAAAATATTTAGCAAAAAAATAAAATCTATATCTAAAAATATAAAATTGTTTATTATTAATGTATTATTTTATTGCATTATTAAATGTATATTTAACAATTTTTTTTTTAATTGGTCAAATGTAAATCCTTTCCATCTGGGCCATTTGAAAAAATCCTTAGCCTTTAGCTTTTTTATGGTTCTAAAATTTCATTCATAATGGTCCTAAAAATGTCCTTAAATGTCTTAAATTACCTCGGTGACGCCTGCAGAAACCATGTATTGGTTCCAATCTCGAAATAATATGTTTTGATGAAAGCTGAAAACCTGTTACCATTGACTTCCATATTAGCAAAAACAAATAAGTCAGTGATAAGTTACAGGTTTGTAACCTTCTATATATTAGCTGTCCTTTTTGTTTAACAGAATAAAGAAATTACAAACCCAATATATAGGTTTGGGCAAACTATCCCTATGTCTATTATGGACTTCATTCAACAATTAAATGCTTACATTTAATTTTCTATTTTATTTCCCCTCAGGAGTGCTCCGATATCTCTGTTGTTCCTCCCATTGACGTGCTTTGGATCACTGGAGAAAAGGGGGGCAATTATTATTATTCTTTCGGAGGCTGCCATCGTTTTGCTGCCTATCAGAGGTTAAAAATGAAATCCATACCTGCCAAGATCATCAAATCTAACATTTCAGACCTGCGCACTTACCTGGGAGCATCAACGCCAAATCTACAGTGACAATACTGTGACTTTTCTTTCTTGAACCCATTATTTGAATTACCCCAAACCGTAAATGACTATATTTGACACTATTTTGTCCACTTTTGCTTGGTTGCTGTGGGATTTTCCAAGTCACATTGACTAAACATCAGGGGCGCAACTGCACATTTACTGAGGGGTATGCAGGTTCAAGTTTTACGCCCATGCCCACCTCAATCCAACTTTATTTTGTAACAGGCAAGTGAGAGTGCCAAAATATTTCACCTTGACATGCTTTGCTTTTGTTCTTCTTGTACTACATTTGTCAAACCAAAATGATAGTTATGGGGTCCTAATGACCTCCGTGAAGTTGGCACCCCATAAAAACAAATAATCCCCAAAAATATGCCATTCATTTTTGCTGCATTTGTGCAGCATTTGTGCTGGTTTGGGGTCTGATATATTAAGCATTTTTTTTTGTGACTGTGTGACATCACTTTTCACTCCATGTTGCTCAAATCAGCACAGGTCGTTTGTGCTTGATTTGTGCCGTTAAAACACAAAAATGTTTTCCTTCTTTAGATATAAGCAAAATATTTCTGGAGCTGTGACGTAATGTTACTCTCCACCCCATTTCCTCTAAATTGCACCAAACTGATATCATTCATTTGTGCTCAATTGGTGCTGGTTTGTGCTGTTAAATCAAACACTGTATCTATTTTCATTGTCTGATCATTATATTGATATTATATTGCCTGATCATTATAATTTGGGAGTCGTGCCGTCATTTACAATTGCTGATAAAATAGGTTTAAATTCTGATGTTTTTTTATTTATCCGCTCTGCATGGATGTATAAGTGCATGCAGGCAGATCAGTCAATCTTATTTAGAGCTGAAGTAGATATAGGTGAAAATAGTTTTGTTTTTCTATGTTGGAAGCAAATGTGGGGATTTTTCCCAAAATAACCTAAGATTAGGTTACATGTCTTTTTTTGGCAAAATATGTCCCAGCAACTTAATTTTATGACCCCCATATTCATAGTGGCGAACATGGTGAGGATGTTTTGAAGACCAAACTGGCACGCTATAAAGTCAGTAAGACCTTAAAATATCAGCAAGAGACCAAAATGGTATCTGCTACGTTCCAAATAATATTATAGTATTATATAATAATATATAGGCTGCACAGTGGTGCAGTGGGTAGCACAATAGCCTCACAGCAAGAAGGTCGCTGGTTCCGGCTGGGTCACTTGGCATTTCTGTGTAGAGTTTGCATGTTCTCCCTGTATTCGCATGGGTTTCCTCCGGTTTCCCCCACAAGTCCAAAAATAATGTGGTACAGGTGAATTGGGTAAGCTAATTTGTTCATAGTGTATGGGCATCGTGTATGGGTTAAAAGGGCATCCGATGCGTAGGAAATATGCTGGATAAGTTGGCAGTTCATTCCGCTGTGGCGACCTCAGTTTAATAAATATGGATGAATGTTATAGAACGCAAAAATGTAACTTTCCCGAACATCAACATATTGTTACAACACCAATTTTTATTTCTTTAAATTGAGAAGCAGACTGAATGTATATCTTGAGAAGTAATGCTTCAATTCATGATCAGACAGATAAAACCTTATAATTCAAGGCGCAAAATGACTTTTAGGAGTTAGAAGGTCCCTGTCTGCATTTGCCCTGTTTGTTTTACCCCAACTTGCAAATTGAGATGAATTTTGATAATTTACATTAAGAGTACTTTTAGGCTCTCTGTCATGTTAATGTATGAAAAAAAAACTGTTACACACATATTGCTTGCTATATGGAATGCGAAAACATTGAAGCTCAATATCTCAAAATCATTTTCTGCAAATAGAACCTTGTATTTCCAAGATGACGATTTTCTGACGAGTTTTCCTTTTTTTTTAAATTTTTATACTTCCTATATTGGAAGCGGACGTGGGGATTTTTTCCTCTCAAATTTGCCTAAAATTAGGTTACATGTCTTTTTTGACAAAATATGTCCCAGCAACTTATTTGATAACGTGGTGAGGACGTTTTAAAGACCAAACAGGCACGTTATGAAGGCATGTCAAGAAGAGACATATTATAGTATTATATATTATTATATATAATAATGTTATAGAAAGCAAAAAATGTAAAAAAAAATTCTCGAACATCATCATCATATTGTTACACCAATTTTTATTTCTTTAATTAAATTAATAAGCAGAATGATTGTAGAAAGCGGATACTTTAAGATATACTCCTTCCCCTCTCTCTGCTCCACATGCTTTCCTGTCTATACTCTCAACTGTGCTATCAATTAAAGCTGAAAATTCCACAAAAAAAAAAAAAAAAAAACATTTTAAGTTTGCTAAAGGTGATCCTGGACTATCATGAACATTTAAGTGAAGTTTATTCATAAACTAATTTCAAGAGGATCACGTGCTTATGATTGACAAGGCTGGCCCTGAGTCAAGCTTATGAACGAACCACCAATCAGGCTATTCCTAACCCAGTATAAATAACCAAACGCCCTACCTTTAGTCATCTTCGTTTTGAAGAATCCCCCCTTCCACCCCTTCTCCTCCTCTTTTCTACAGGGCAGCACGGTGGCCCAGTGGCTAGCACTGCGGCCTCACAGCAAAAAATGCCTCCGACTTGGGTATCCACCCAACCGGTCAGCATTTTCGTGCGGAGTTCATGTTCTCCCCGTGCTTGCGTGGGTTTTCCCCGGGTCCTCCGGTTTCCTCCCACACTCCCAAAAACATGAGACTAAGTAAATTGACTAAACCAAATTAGCACCAAATTCAATTCTGTCTGCAACACATCACCTTAGCAATCCTTACGCAGCAGGAGGGGGGGGGGGGGGGTCTCGAGATCTACCCGAGTCAAACTCCCCTCTTGCCCTGCAACGGAATCCTCGAGCCCGGAGCTCCCTCCCAAGACAGCATGCCAAACTAGCTTATTATCAATCATCAGCTAAGTGTGAACTCTTGAAATACTGTGTAAATTCACTAATGTTGATTCTGGACCATCATCATTTAAATACAGTGTAAATTTACTAATGTTGATCCTGGACCATGATCATTTAAGTACAGTGTAAATTCACTAATGTAGATTCTGGACCATGACCATTTAAATACAGTGTAAATTCACTAATGTTGATCCTGGACCATCATCATTTAAATACAGTGTAAATTCACTAATGTTGATCCTGGACCATCATCAATTTAAATACAGTGTAAATTTACTAATGTTGATCCTGGACCATCATCATTTAAATACAGTGTAAATTCACTATTGTTGATCCTGGACCATCATCATTTAAATACAGTGTAAATTCACTAATGTTGATCCTGGACCATCATCATTTAAATACAGTGTAAATTTACTAATGTTGATCCTGGACTATCATCTTTTAAATACAGTGTAAATTCAGTAATGTTGATCCTGGACCATGATAATTTAAATACAGTGTAAATTTGCTAATGTTGATCCTGGACCATCATAATTTAAATACAGTGTAAATTTACTAATGTTGATCCTGGACCATCATCATTTAAATACAGTGTAAATTTACTAATGTTGATCCTGGACCATCATCATTTAAATACAGTGTAAATTTACTAATGTTGATCCTGGACCATCATCATTTAAATACAGTGTAAATTTACTAATGTTGATCCTGGACCATCATCATTTAAATACAGTGTAAATTTACTAATGTTGATCTTGGACCATCATCATTTAAATACAGTGTAAATTTACTAATGTTGATCCTGGACCATCATCATTTAAATACAGTGTAAATTTACTAATGTTGATCCTGGACCATCATCATTTAAATACAGTGTAAATTTACTAATGTTGATCCTGGACCATGATAATTTAAATACAGTGTAAATTTACTAATGTTGATCCTGGACCATCATCATTTAAAAACAGTGTAAATTTACTAATGTTGATCCTGGACCATCATCATTTAAATACAGTGTAAATTCACTAATGTTGATTCTGGACCATCATCATTTAAATACAGTGTAAATTCACTAATGTTGATTCTGGACCATCATCATTTAATTACAGTGTAAATTTACTAATGTTGATCCTGGACCATCATAATTTAAATAAAGTGTAAATTTACTAATGTTGATCCCGGACCCTCATAATTTAAATACAGTGTAAATTTACTAATGTTGATCCTGGACCATCATCATTTAAATACAGTGTAAATTCACTAATGTTGATCCTGGACCATCATCATTTGAATACAGTGTAAATTTACTAATGTTGATCCTGGACCATCATCATTTAAATACAGTGTAAATTTACTAATGTTGATCCTGGACCATCATCATTTAAATAAAGTGTAAATTTACTAATGTTGATTCTGGACCATCATCATTTAAATAAAGTGTAAATTCACTAATGTTGATCCTGGACCATCATCATTTGAATAAAGTGTAAATTTACTAATGTTGATTCTGGACCATCATAATTTAAATACAGTGTAAATTCACTAATGTTGATCCTGGACCATCATCATTTAAATACAGTGTAAATTCACTAATGTTGATCCTGGACCATCATAATTTAAATACAGTGTAAATTCACTAATGTTGATCCTGGACCATCATCATTTAAATACAGTGTAAATTTACTAATGTTGATCCCGGACCCTCATAATTTAAATACAGTGTAAATTTACTAATGTTGATCCTGGACCATCATCATTTAAATACAGTGTAAATTCACTAATGTTGATCCTGGACCGTCATCATTTGAATACAGTGTAAATTTACTAATGTTGATCCTGGACCATCATCATTTAAATACAGTGTAAATTCACTAATGTTGATCCTGGACCATCATCATTTAAATACAGTGTAAATTCACTAATGTTGATCCTGGACCATCATAATTTAAATACAGTGTAAATTCACTAATGTTGATCCTGGACCATCATCATTTAAATACAGTGTAAATTTACTAATGTTGATCCCGGACCCTCATAATTTAAATACAGTGTAAATTTACTAATGTTGATCCTGGACCATCATCATTTAAATACAGTGTAAATTCACTAATGTTGATCCTGGACCATCATCATTTGAATACAGTGTAAATTTACTAATGTTGATCCTGGACCATCATCATTTAAAAACAGTGTAAATTTACTAATGTTGATCCTGGACCATCATCATTTAAATACAGTGTAAATTTACTAATGTTGATCCTGGACCATCATCATTTAAATACAGTGTAAATTTACTAATGTTGATCCTGGACCATCATCATTTAAATAAAGTGTAAATTCACTAATGTTGATCCTGGACCATCATCATTTAAATACAGTGTAAATTTACTAATGTTGATCCTGGACCATCATAATTTAAATACAGTGTAAATTCACTAATGTTGATCCTGGACCATCATCATTTAAATACAGTGTAAATTCACTAATGTTGATCCTGGACCATCATCATTTAAATACAGTGTAAATTTACTAATGTTGATCCTGGACCATCATCATTTAAATACAGTGTAAATTCACTAATGTTGATCCTGGACCATCATCATTTAAATACAGTGTAAATTTACTAATGTTGATCCTGGACCATCATCATTTAAATACAGTGTAAATTCACTAATGTTGATCCTGGACCATCATCATTTAAATACAGTGTAAATTTACTAATGTTGATCCTGGACCATCATCATTTAAATACAGTGTAAATTCACTAATGTTGATCCTGGACCATCATCATTTAAATACAGTGTAAATTTACTAATGTTGATCCTGGACCATCATCATTTAAATACAGTGTAAATTCACTAATGTTGATCCTGGACCATCATCATTTAAATACAGTGTAAATTTACTAATGTTGATCCTGGACCATCATCATTTAAATACAGTGTAAATTTACTAATGTTGATCCTGGACCATCATCATTTAAATAAAGTGTAAATTCACTAATGTTGATCCTGGACCATCATCATTTAAATACAGTGTAAATTTACTAATGTTGATCCTGGACCATCATCATTTAAATAAAGTTTAAATTCACTAATGTTGATCCTGGACCATCATCATTTAAATACAGTGTAAATTTACTAATGTTGATCCTGGACCATCATCATTTAAATACAGTGTAAATTCACGAATGTTGATCCTGGACCATCATCATTTAAATACAGTATAAATTTACTAATGTTGATCCTGGACCATCATCATTTAAATACAGTGTAAATTTACTAATGTTGATCCTGGACCATCATAATTTAAATACAGTGTAAATTTACTAATGTTGATCCTGGACCATCATCATTTAAATAAAGTGTAAATTCACTAATGTTGATCCTGGACCATCATCATTTAAATAAAGTGTAAATTCACTAATGTTGATCCTGGACCATCATCATTTAAATAAAGTGTAAATTCACTAATGTTGATCCTGGACCATCATCATTTAATTAAAGTATAAATTCACTAATGTTGATCCTGGACCATCATCATTTAAATACAGTGTAAATTTACTAATGTTGATCCTGGACCATCATCATTTAAATACAGTGTAAATTTACTAATGTTGATCCTGGACCATCATCATTTAAATACAGTGTAAATTCACTAATGTTGATCCTGGACCATCATAATTTAAATACAGTGTAAATTTACTAATGTTGATCCTGGACCATCATCATTTAAATACAGTGTAAATTTACTAATGTTGATCCTGGACCATCATCATTTAAATACAGTGTAAATTCACTAATGTTGATCCTGGACCATCATCATTTAAATACAGTGTAAATTCACTAATGTTGATCCTGGACCATCATCATTTAAATACAGTGTAAATTCACTAATGTTGATCCTGGACCATCATCATTTAAATACAGTGTAAATTTACTAATGTTGATCCTGGACCATCATCATTTAAATACAGTGTAAATTTACTAATGTTGATCCTGGACCATCATCATTTAAATACAGTGTAAATTTACTAATGTTGATCCTGGACCATCATCATTTAAATACAGTGTAAATTTACTAATGTTGATCCTGGACCATCATCATTTAAATACAGTGTAAATTCACTAATGTTGATCCTGGACCATCATCATTTAAATACAGTGTAAATTCACTAATGTTGATCCTGGACCATCATCATTTAAATACAGTGTAAATTCACTAATGTTGATCCTGGACCATCATCATTTAAATAAAGTGTAAATTCACTAATGTTGATCCTGGACCATCATCATTTAAATACAGTGTAAATTTACTAATGTTGATCCTGGACCATCATCATTTAAATACAGTGTAAATTCACTAATGTTGATCCTGGACCGTCATAATTTAA